TACCAACATACAGGTATACAAATATATTACTGTTCGAAAACATTAATGTGTGGGTATATTAAGCTGTCAATATACGAACCTATCAGTAGACTAACATATCAAAATCTAATTCTATTATTGATACAAATACTAGCACGTCTGCGGATATTGTGCTGATATCAAATCCAGCATTAAGACTGATTAAAACTAACATCCACATTGGCACTCGCATTAACACTGAGTATCACTAAATATGATTGTATATTGATATACGAATACTGTAAAATGCGAGTATACTGACATAATCACAGGCTATTATGCCAGCATATTGATATACCTAAAAGGTAATATACGAACATATCAAAAAAGGAAGAGGGCCAATATGATAATGTACCAATATACTAGTACGTTAACATACGAATATCAGAATACACCAATATACTAATGTACTCATGCACCAATGTACCAAGATATTCACATACTAATATACAGCCATGCAAATATACTATTCTTCGAATACATTAATGTATTGACATATTAAGCTGTTAATGTACGAATCAATCAGTATACGCACATATCAGAACGACTTCTAATACTGATACTAATACCAGTACTTCTGTGAATCATCTGATATAAAAGGCAGTACTCATACTGATACTAATACTAACACGAGTACTATTACTGACATTGACATCGACACTGGCACTAACACCAACACGAACATAATCACCAGTTCATACTTCCTATTATTGATATGTATATCTTTTCTACAGTACTAATTCTGATACTAATGCTAATACTAATACTAATACTAAATATCAATCCCAATACTAGTACCAAACCAATACCCATCATAGTATCAATACTACCACAAAACTAGTACTCAGATGAACACTGATGCTAGGGTTAGGACTACTACAAACAATAACAGCAGTACTGAGGCTAGAACTAAGAACAAGACATATTTATCGTCACACTAATACTAGTACTAATACTAGTTACGAATACTAATATTCATACTTATACTAATACCAATACTTATGCTACCACCACTATTAGTACTACCACGATTACTACGACGACTACTACTACTACTACTACTACTAATACTAGTACACATACTTAATACTAACACTCATATTAATACGCATACTAATACTAATACCAATACTACTGCTACCACTACTACTACTGTGCTAATACTTAATACTAATACTAATAGTAATACGAATACTAATACTAATACGAAACCAATACTCATCCTAATATCAATACTACCACAAAACTAACATTGATTTTAATACTGATGCTAGAATTAGGATTACTACAAACAGTAATAGTGCCACGAAGAGCAGAACTGAGATTAAGATTAGGACTAGGAGCGTTGCATGCATGTGTAGAAATCTCCAAAAATTGCCAACCATCTAAAAGAACATTTCGGAATTGAGTTTGGGAGAAGTGATTGCCGCCTATCCGTTGACAGATCCTGCCTGGGGACGGACACCACCCTTCCCCTTCCCCACGACGCCACGACGGTCTGTCATGGGGGGGGGGTGAGTATATATATATATATATATGTTTCTCTCACTCTCTCTCTGTGTCTCTCTACACCTTTACCTGTTTGTCTATCTGTCCGTCTGTCTTTTTGTCTCTCTACGCCTCTACCTCTTTTTCTACCTGTCCATCTATCTCCGTCTCTCTCTCCCTCCCTCTCCCTCTCGCGCGCGCTCTCTCCCTCTCTCTCTCTGTCTCTCTCTCTCTCTCTCTCTCTCTCTTTCTGTCTGCCTGCCACAGGCATTATTATCCAAGTTTGTGTGCACATCCAAGCCGACTTGTTGAGCGACGTGCCTACTGCTCACCTACCTGCCTACCTATTCCTGCCGACCTAACTGTAGTTTGCCCAGTATCGAAGCTCCAAGACTCCTTTCCGCTCCGCATCGTGTATTGGTTATCTACGTATTTTGCTTACCAAGGTGTATCTGTCGACTACGTCTGTCCGAAATGCAAATTTGGACATATTTGGTTCGCGTGGGGTGGCTTTATCTGCATACATAGCGACATACAGATATGCATAGTTTGATGTTGCCACGCATGTGCACACCGATACTCGGATAGGCAGATAGGCAGAGGCACAGATATGTAGACAGGGAAACAGATGGAGCGGCAGGTTGACCCCCCCTTGTGTACAAGGGCATGTAAATATGGGCATGTCTCTGTGTGTGTCTTTACGTGCAAATGTACAGACGCCTGCAATTTGTTTGACAGCGTGCTCGCAAGAGCGCTCAGTCCTTACTTCTATGCAAATCAGGTTCTGCAGTGCGATTCTGCATTGTAGGTTGGCTACAGTTGTCATGAGCCGCCAGAGCATGCTACCACAGAAGAAAAGACAGAGCAGCATACCACGTGCCTTGACAGGTTCCCTCAGAGCCGGACCGCAGATTCAATGTTGTCCCGCCACTCGTTTGCAGTGGAAGGGGCTGTCTGCAAGCGCACGCCGGCTCATCCGTAACATCATCACCGAGTGCGACATGTCGACAGACACCTCAGCCGGCCAAAAACAGGCACCCAGCTGCATCCGGCAAGTAGACTCCGCCACGAAACAGCTCCACTCATCCCGGACGCATGATTCGTAAGATACCACTGCCACGGCTGCTGCTGCCGCGCTGCTGCTGCTCCTGCTCCTGCCTCGCTACTACTACTGCCCTAAGTACCCGCATTACCATATTCACTGCTATCACAACTACTGCTGATGCTGTCGCTACTACAACTTACTACTCCTGCGACTGCTACTGCTACTGCTAATCCTCCTACTACTCCTACTCGAACTCCTACGACTACTGCTGCTGCTACTACTACTGCTCGTACCACTAATACTAGTACTAGTACTAGTACTACTAGTACTACTAGTACTAGTACTACTACTACTACTACTACTACTACTACTACTACTACTACTACTACTACTGCTCTACCGCTACCACCACTACTACCACTACTACCACTACTACCACTGCCACTACCACTGCCACTACCACTACCACTACCCCTTCCCCTACCCCTACCGCTACCACTACTACTACTACTGCTGCTGCTGGTACTACTACTACTACTGCTGCTACTACTACTACTGCTGCTGCTACTACTACTACTGCTACTGCTACTGCTACTGCTACTGCTACTGCTACTGCTACAACTACTGCTACTACTACTACGACTACTACGCTCTAGAATCCCAGCTTGTCACTCGGATTTGCCAACCGCACGCTTCGAGACTGCAGAGTCCATTTGCGGGATAGCTTCCGCTTGTCACTCGGATTTGCCCGCAAACTAAGCCCACTCATCACTGTCATGCACCGGTCGCCGATGGCGGCTGCACTGCACCGGCAGTAAAGTCACCAACAAGTCACATTGCGTTCACACCACACATGCCAAAGCTCAGCAGAGATTCAGCAACAGAACATCGCGTTGGCGCCACAGGGACGCTTCCACTGCGCGAGTTGCCTCATGGTCCAATCCGTCAAGCACGAAGACTGACTCGGAGTCTAAATGCCAAGCATAGGGCATCCCCGTGTAACTGGGGTAGGGTGAGGCCACTGCAATAGCAGTCGGGGAGCGAAAATCTGCCACGAAAACTCCCTCGCCGCACATCAAAGCCCTGGCATGCGCGCATGTGTCCGTGGGGCCGTGCATTCGGCTACCCACTTCAAGTCCTCGTACATCGCATGGTGAATGATGGTGAATGGCACTGTCTCCCAAAGAAGACTGTACGCCGTATTGCTTCGGCGCCGGAAGACAAAGTATGGTGGTCGCTTCTCCCAACCCCTGCGGATGAAGTTGGAACCCCTACACAGAGAAAGAGCCGGTGATGTCATGAAAAACTTCGTCCATCTTCTCATCCCGGACTTGGGACCGGGCCGGATACAGGTCATACTCTGTCTTCTGGTGCGTCTGATGGCATTCTCACAGAACCCAGCTGTTATTTGCCAACATCGGCGCGGTCAACTCGGTGTAGTTGGCCAAGGAGGTTCGAATAAGCAGTGTTCGCGGCACCAGAGCCCGGTGCGCCAGGGCCAGCAGGTGGGGCAACCGACAAGGAATTCTACCTACAAGTGCCCGCATTGCAACAGTCTTTCGTGTCGTCATCAAGAACTGCGTGCTTCGCGGACAGCAACATTTATCTACGGCCTGAGCAGACATAATGTAAAAGGTGTCCCGTCGTTGGGGCCGTTCGGAGCCGCATGTCTTGTTGCTGCAATCACGATCTTGATTATTTTCTTTTTTGTATTAGTACGTATTAGTGTTAGAATTTGTATGCTACCATCTGCATTAGTATGTGTATGAATATGGGTATTATTCGTTATAGTTATTATCATTATGATTAATATATTATAATCATTGTTGTCATGAACATTATTATGATCATCACTCTTGTTGTGAATACGACTACAAATAGGTCTTATGATGATTCAATGATGCTGCTGCTGCTGCTCCTGGCTAGCAAATACCATGAGTATTCACTGTCGGGGATGTGAGGTTCAGAGCGCTGGTACTGGCCTTTCACATGGAAGAGAGCGAGGCCTTGTTGCGTGCCTATGTACGGTTTAGGGTTTGGGGAAGCTCTAGACACGTATGGTATTTGAGCATACAGCTTGCGGAAGCTTGGATTTCGGCTGAGCATGGAATGCCTGGTTTGTCACTTGTGTGGTCCTGTCGCATTATTCGATGCTGCAGGTCGCGAAGCGGATCTTCCCTTCGCCGCGCGTCTTTGCACAGTTTCAGGCATCACGGCTCGATTATGCCCCTGGCACATGCTGCACGTAAAGCGGCGAAGCCACGGCGCCCGGACTCAAGGACAATATAAATGTACACTTGCAACCTCTTGTTGCCCTTGAAGCTAAATCCGCAACTATCTCGCTAGCTGTTCGTTTCCCTCAACTCGCAAGCTGCATGAGCCGACTGGCACTATCCAAGCAAAGTTGTCTGTTCTGGATATCTTGTCTTTTTAGAAGACACCTATGACAATGGGAATGGCAGTCGACCAGCACGTGTCGTCAAGCCAACCGCCCAGACGTTCACCAAAGGCTGTGAAAGAGATTCTGCTGGCTGGTGATGCAAATCGCTTGGTGGCAGAGCTGACTTTCGTAGCTTGGATGGCGACAGCTGGTGTGTTTTAGGCTTCAGAGCTTTGCTTTCGAAGTATCACCTGAGCGATTCGCAGAAGAGTTTTGTTCCTGCAGTGGGTGCCTAGGGGCTGACGGAGACATTCAGTTGCAGGCTTTGAAGTTCTCAGCTCACACAAGGTACGCATCAACGACCTTGCGGCGCCACCAGACAAGATCGATGCCTTTCGGCATGCAAAGTGGGAACATCAGCGTGTGCTTCGCTACGACCATGACTCAGATGCTAACGAAGCAAAAGACCCACAAATTGACCGTGGGCAAACTACAGCATCGCCATCATCCCCGCCACCCATCGTTGGTTCTCGCATCAGAGCCCCACTGTCGGCATCGTCCTAGTCATCGTCATCCTCATTTTCATCCCAGTCATGACAAACTATCAGCGGCGTCACCACTGCCACCTCTCCCTCCCCGCCTGCACCATTAGCAACACACAGCAACAACGACACGGATGTTCAAAAGCGTAGATGGCATGCAGGCTAACTGTCATGAAAGCTATCCAACATAGGCCTCCCTTTGCCAAAGTCTCGCGAAGCAAGACACACGAGATGCATCAATGTTCGGCATGGGACCCGGATTCTAATGCTTGGGGTTGAGCCTGAAGACCCCGGAGGTTTTGCTCTACCTGGAGCCCGTCGTCGCCTTCACGATCCTGGCGAATGGAGTCATGTCCGTCGGCTGATTCAGCTTGGACCTCCGGTTCTGTCGAAGGGTCTCCAACACATCGCCGGCGGGCGCTGCGGGCGGTTCGCACGTCATTTCCGGAGGTGACGGCTCCATTGCTCCGTCTGGAAGACCCTTGATGCCCAACATTCTCCTTACAAATCGCGAGAATTCCGAGGCTGCGATCCCGCAGCTTGAAATCATCCCAAGTAGCCTCACAAGAAGCTGTATACACCTCAACGATTCTGAGTCGTCTACTGAGGATCGGCTTTCAAAGCTCGGATGACTATCAAAACTGGCCAGGTTGGTTTTGGTTCGAGGTGGTGGCTTGGTTGCATTCCAGGTGGTGTCGATAGCAGCATGTCTTTCTTCGTTTGGCATGCTCTCCGGGATCCGGCGGTCGAATGCAATACTGTGCGACATTTGCTGCCACTTTCGGGGGCAGAAGAAAAAAACATGCCTAGCCACTCGAGGAGAACACTTAGCTCTCGTGCGTCTAACGTCTGTCCAACACTCTTTCGCAAGCCTAGATGGTAGGGCTAGATTTTGACTTTCCTCACACCATACAAGCGGAATCCGTGGGGGAGATTGCTTCAGATGTGAGAAATTCTATTCCATGCCAAGTCAGAGTCTGGCAGAACGTGGCAGAACCACAAGCCGAGAAACTGTCTTTTCAACTTTGCTATCGAGCAGCCCTGACCGTCAAGTTCTGTCAACTAGGAATGGCGAAGGTTCTCTGGAACGATCCGGGACCCAGGTGATTGAAGAAGCGTGCTGGTCCAAGACTGGCTCAACACTCAAGGATAAGAGCACAGGGCTGCGCTGCAAGTCAGCTGGCTTGTTCGCAAGAGGACCTCAAGCAACCCGTCCCGATATTACGAGACGTCTCGTTCGAGGATGTCCTGTAAGATCTTCTGCAAAGTCCAACGAAACCGAACGCTGTTCCTGAAGTGACTGTCAAGCACTCAAGACGTTTTCATCGAAGCCGCCGAATTTACTTGTTGGCACTGGGCGTGTCTGAGGGCTTCGCCTTGGTTCTGATCCTGGAGTGCTGCCTGCGGAATTTTGTGCCTCGCGCTGCTCGATGGTCGGGTGACGGCTTGGATTTTGGGACTTGGTAGCCGTTCGAAAGGTACTCAAGATAGTCAAGTACTCCATGCGATGTTCACCGGTTAGCCAAGATGTTGTCATCCTTCCTGGGCATCCGGACTTGTTGCTCAGCTCCCATCGACTCTCTAAAGTTCGTGCACGTCAGGTTCACCTAGCTTCTGGTCTTTCTGTCCCGACATCGCGAGAGTGTCCTGGTGCCAAGGTAGGTGGCTGCAGAAACTATTTCTGCGGCGTGGAAAGGCCGCTGGCTTTTCAAGTAGAGCATTCTAGAAGGCAAAGCTGCTAGCAAATCGAAGATGGCAATGCTTCAGCTGCACCAGGTCACAGCAAACATGTTCGAAAACCGGGCTTCGGATAGTCCTTCTGCAGGCCCATCGGGTTCCATGATTCGCCCCGTTGCGAGCCCTTCTCAGGATATGGAACTGGTGTGACATCGGCTTCATCGGCACCGCCATAACAGATCTACTGTTCCGTCCTGAGCGCGAAGCATGAACATGCATCGTTGTGGTGCGAAGCGCACCACCCAAGGGAAGGAGTTCCAACTTGCAGACTGCCGGGTTCAAGCATCAAAGCAGCTTCAGTTGGTCCGGTATCATCGGAAGTCTTCCATTACAACAGAGCTTCATCTGAGTGGTAGCTTCGATGCGTTCTATCTTTGTTGATATGCACGCGACTTGACGTCCGTACGTTGCTTCGAGTTGTTGAGCTGTTCAATGTGTGTTGCACTTGCGTCGATTTGTTCGAGCTTTATCTCTGCTGGTCGTTGATCTTATGCTTCCTCCAGGTTGGTTAGTAGGCCCGCGCACTCTAGGTCGAGCCATCCCACATTCAAAACTTCTGCCCGCGCGTGCCCCAAATCGTGGTTACTTGTTTGCTTGGGTCCCTGTGCAAAAGCTCGTGCACGAGCTCTAGTGACTCCAGTGCTAGGTGCTCCGGCTTCAAACCTTCATGTGTTGAAACGTTGAGCCGATGTTGGGTGTCCAACATTAGCATCACGATCTGTACCAGCACTTGTGCTTACACTGTTGCCCCGGCGACTGGGAACAAAACCGTGTTGTGCCCACGGTAATCCATTCTCGCGGTACGCCTGTATCTCTTGTTCGTACAGGGCGTACACACTTGCAACTCTGTGTGAGTGCGACTATTCAAGACGAGGATGATGTTGTGAATGTGATCGTTTCTTAGCCTCGCGCTTTTGGTGCTTGTGCTTGCCAAGCCAGCACAATGCAGTTTTAGGTCACGTGAGATCAATCCCAACCCCCAAACGTTCGCAATCCCTTGCCTCGATGCAGGTATCTACAGCATCACAGAAACTGCAATTTCGACTACCAACAGAATTCCAGGAAATAAGGATGCAAATGGCTTGCATGAGCTGAACTTTTACCAGGTGGGTCATGAGGCCAGCATGTGTGACGCATTGTGACTCACTTGTCTGCCCGAGGTTGGAGCTCCTCCAAGTTGACTCCGGGGCGCCTCGTTCTTGACACCCCATCCCACTCAAAAAAGGGCTACTGTTCGTTACGCAGTTGACGCAGGCAATGTTCTTCACAACTCTGCTCCGCTTTGTACGGCTGGTGCGGCTGACGCGGATAGTGAAGGTCTTCCGTGCCCTGGCCGAGAGAATCGATGAGTCCACTTCCACATGCTCCATCATGCTCCCGTCCAATCAGGCTTTCAGTTCCAGCAAGACTTGTAGCAGTATCTGTGCCGAGAAGTAGCAGCGCTGCAAGGTCTCCACTGGATGAAAGAGCTCCGCTTAATGCTCAAAGGCTTCTCTGTTGGCATTGAAGATGAGGTAGTATGCAGTAGCTTGTGCAAAATTCGTGGGCGTTCGCAGGACTGAGTATTTCTCGTGCTTGTCTTTGTGCAAGTCAGAATGCCGTCGAGAGTTGGGAGTACCTTAAGGCGTTTCAAAAATCGTCGGTGTCACGTGTTCATTGTAAGATAGCCTAGACTGAGAGTGCGACCCTTGGTTGACAACACTGGCATAGGTCTTTCCAACAACAGCAAGAACACTGCAGCACACCATTGTCAGATCAACTGCACACTTCGTGGAAGGAGGGGACATGCATCTCTGCTCACGATTGTGTTGATACGAAACAAGCATTGCCTTTAACTGCGCCGGTTTAGCTTGCATAAGTTTGCGACAAGCGACTGCAGAGGGCGGGCACAAGCACATTTTCCCCGTTGTCATGGTGCAGAAACGCATGTTGGCATGGTCGACGTCTGCCTTACTGCCTGACTTGACCAGAGCAACAGTAGCCATCCAGAAAGCCACAGCCATAGTCCTACAGTCCTACGGGCTGAGCTCTTCACACTCCCTAGTCAGAATGGGCCCGGGCCCTGACCCTTTCACATGCCCCACGGCCTGATCTAGAGCTTGAGGTACCGAGATATGCTGCACCATGCGTATGCATCCCAGACAACCGATTCCTTCTCCTACGACACCATGACGACACCATACGAGTCAATCAGCCCCACCAAGATGCCGTTACAGCAAATCCGAGGCCCTCATGAATATACACAACAAAATCCCGTAGCACAAGGTCCATGAGCCACTCCGGTTAACTGCAAAACAGCAGTAAGGACTCATTGGCAGCATGCAAACGTTGCTGATGGCGTTCGTCCTCCTTTTCGTGGTGTTATATGCCCCTTGGTTGTTGATGCCGAGTTGCGAGGTTCGAGGTGGAAGGTTAAGAGCTGGTCCATTTACTTAGGATGTTGTGGGGATCAGTGGTAAGTTCGGGGATGTTGATAGGACTTAGGTTCGAAAGTGGATGCTCAGGTCCTTGCCGGGCTGGCGACATACACGCTGGGCCGTGATGAGGTTCTCGAAGGGCAACGTGTCCGAAACGAAACGGTGGGACGACTACGGGCGAATACTGGGTTGAAGCTACAGGTCTTGCAGCAAGTGACCGCTGACTCACTTTCAAGCTCAAGTCAGTTGAGTCCTGACAGCGCACGAGCCCTTGTTCCAACAGCAAGCCTTGGAAGCCTCCGACACGATGTGCCCGCAGCAAAACTACAGAACCTTCGGAGTCAGGAAAGACTATGAGCTGCATGCCCTCTTCGAGAACTTGCCCGTGCAACCTGGCTATGAGGGAAGGATAAGTGATGTTTAATTGCTGCACAGGTGACTGGCATTCAGTTTTGACGATTCTGGCCGCATTGCCACAGCAAGATACCCTCTTTCAGCGAGAAAGCCGGGATTCGTACCTGGACCTAGACCCGCTTGCCACAGCTGTTGCAGCCTTTCAAGCATTCCAAAGAAATCTCTTCTGCTTCTCTGTCAATTCCATCGCCATGGCGTCAGCGGGTCGCATCCTACTGTGTGCCCTGATCCCTGTGCTCCTCTCCGCCGTCTCGGCCCTGCGACAAGCCCAAGAAGGTGAGCATGCAAGCACAGTGTTGCAGGCACACGTATCTGGCCAAGAGTCCAAGTGGACTCAGTGTTGCGTCACAAAGAATACTGGGAACATCGAAATCCAAAGCCCCACTTTCCGGAAAGAGGCAGAGAAGATCCTTCAAGACGTCACCTACACAGGTGCATATGGCACGTCTGAGGCCTTCCACACGGACTATTACAGGAGGCATTGCAAGGATGCCCTGCAGCTCGAGAGTTGCCCCTTCTTGTTCAAGGAAGGTTTCAAGATCTACGAATACGCCGACTCCGGGGATCTGATCAAGAGGATCGACACCTTCCTCGCAAAATACCATTTTGAGTCCGAGTCTTATACTTGGAGTGCACCAGATTGTCCTTACAGCATGGAGAAGGCCACAGATTTCGGCCGATGCAAAAGTGATCTCGGGCATTTCATGCAGCTCCTGGATCTATGGAAGGATGGACTTCGCCTCAATGAGCAAGTGAACCGAAACAGCGGCTGGCGTGGCTACTTCAAAGACAAGCAGTCCAAGGAGCTTGCGAAGAAGCAGCTCGACAACGTCCTAGCACGGCTGGAGAAACTGTGGTAACTCCAGTTGCTCCTGCGAGCTCTGCGCGTCTGCTCGATCGGAGTTCAGCCTCAGGGTTCAAAAATTGGTATGGCAAAAGGCGATTTTCGGTAAAGTTCACCTGCCATGTCCTGTGAAGAGTGCCTGAATCAGCTACCGAGGTCGATGTTCACGGCATTCCGGTGCTTCACCGGGCAGTGCGAGACAATCGAAGGCGCGAGTCGGTCGTGGGACTTGGCATACATCGGACAATCATGGTCTCGAACCAGGGTTGGTCAGAGAAGTCCAGTAGGAACCTTCGGTGCTGAACATCGACAACAGAATCGAGGTCGGGGCTTGATGTTCAGGCTGAGATACCTTTCTGTCACCGCCTGTGGGCTGTAGGCTGCTCGCATACGATATACCACTTGGTCTTCGGCCATGTCTCGGTTTCTGTCGGTTGACCACTTGTGAAGCAAGTGCTTGCTCTGGAATTGCGAGGTTCGTGTCCGAAGAATCTTGAGTCCTGGCACTATGACCGTCACCACAGCCACGGTGCAAAACACACGAATGCAGCGATCCCAGCAACATTCAATAATCATTGGACCGCTTTGCAAGCACATGATTCCTTGAGCCTCAACACCTTCAAGCCCTAGTGACCCTTTGTCCTCGACGACTGCAGTGAAGGTGCGCCCTTGGCGGCCGTTCTGGGGAAGGAGTTCTTTGGCTCAGCTGGTGAACATACTATTGTGTCGACATGATCGTGGCATGACCCTCGTCACTACGGCCATCATCATCATCATCATCCAGTGAGCATCATCGCCACCACCACCGTGGCCGTCAACATCGCACCTGCAGACCTAGGGTATCAACAGTACCGGCAGTAGTACTGGCAGTGACAGCGGTCGTAATGGTGAGGATCAGTGCAATCGAAGATGATGATCATCATCATGGTTCATGATGAAAGACAATGGTGGTGAAGATGCCCATCGCATTGATCATCGGTGCCATCATTGTCGGCACTGTCAGTGTTTCTATCACGAGTTCCCTTGTTCCACTAGTACTACGGCCACTACCCACTATCACTACCACCACCACCACCACCACCACCACCACCACGACTACTACTACTACTAATACTAATAATACTACTACTACTACTACTACTACTACTACTACTACTACTACTACTACTACTACTACTACTACTTCTTCCGAACGCAGCAAGAAGATGTCTCGCTTGGCCGTCCAAGTTTTGGGGCAGGATCTGCATCCCGGCGCTTTCGCGCACTCCACCTTCTGTGAAGTCCAAAATGTTCCACGACGCTCTCCCGGCCCGAGGGCCCCAAAGAAGAGAGCGCCGATGTCTGTGTAGAGTGCCGGAGTACGTTGAGCAAAATTACACACAAACTGTACAATTGTGAGGAAGGACCTGACTATGCTGTTCGGCATTGGCACAGACTGGGGCACTTATAACCCAAATCAGGGACTAGTGGCATCAGGGCAGTGCACATACAGAAAGGCATAACAGTTGGTATAAAAGTGAGACCACTGAGTCTCGCTGCAGATACGGCTTGCGGGCACAGCGTCCTGAGTGATAAGTTGCATGCTGCTGTCAAACAGCACCGCCCTATAGTGCCCCGAGCTCGCATCGGAGCCTTCATGCATCAATGCTGCTGCAAGTCGGAAGGAGACCAGCTCAACTTCCAGCGCATTGGGCTGCCGCAGATCGTTCAGGAATTTGGGAATTACAACCTGTGGTTCAGGAATTACCCTAGCAGAGGTTTTACCTAAGCTATCAGGGTGGCCTATGCCAAAACGATTGACCTGTAGCAGCAAGACAGGCGGAACACTAAGCAAGCCTTGTCGCCCTTCCTGATGCTGATGCCATGCATCGACTAGGCTCTGTAGGCTAATGTGGGGCAGTGAAGTGGGTCTTAGGGGATCAGGCAACCACAAAGGCCAGGTATTACCATCTTCAATCTTAAGAATTTGGTTATCTTGCTCCAGTCGTGACTCCCAGTGGCATTCAACTGCATCCGAAAGCAGCGAAGGTCGGAGGAATCGAAGATAATCAACTATGTCATGTTGTTGCGCGGGAGACTGCCAGCCGATGTGGATTGCTCTCCAAGATATTTGCTGCCATAGATGAATAACACCTTTCCTCCGTTTGAGGCTTGCAAGAACCGCAAGCAGGCGCATGCCAAGCAGGCCCTCACTAGAGCTCCGAATCATCCCTTGCGTGAGCAGACAGTGCACCCAGGCAATGGCAAGAAAGGAAGCATTGCTGTAACAGAAGTTACTGGTGTTCCCTAGTGCTAGGCCCCTGACAGTTCCTCGAGAATCTTCTGCAGGTTCTGGGCGAGCAGCGTTCTTGGCGCATACTCAGCGCCACTGCTCTGCAGGCTCCGCTGTGGCTCAGTCGAGACAGGATGTTCCATGCCCGATCCGCCTCCGGTGTCCGGAGACCCACCTCCAGCATCATGGGAACGATCTCCCCCGGATTCTGCAGGGCCCTCCGTCGGGCCGCATGGAACCGCAGTGTGGTCAGCGGCAGCAACACCAGGTCCTTGAGCTCCCGGAGGATCTCGAGGGTGCGCTCCAGCGTCATTGGGTCGCGGTCCGTCTTGATCTCGAGTCTCTGCTCCTCCCGGTTGTACTGGAGATAGGGTACGTTGCCGGAGCTGTCCAGGATAAGCATTTCCCTGGCATTCTGGCGCGATTCCTCCGTCTGGGGAACCGCCTCCATTCTGGTGTACCAGACATCCACGAGCTGGTGCAGGAGAGCTGACCGCATGGGGAGCGTGAGCTGCTCCGGTGTCTGCTCCTTCTGCTGCGTCCAGGCCTCCGCCGTCCTCTTCAAATCCGGGACAATGGAGAGGAGCCCCTTGGCTTGGCAGAAGAGAATGAATCCCTTCTCCGAGCGGTCGATCGACTGTTGGTCCTCGTGACGTAGAACGAGGCGAGCCATCGAGGTACAGAGCTTGGCCAGTTGGGCGGTTTCCTTGTCCTTGTCCTTGTCCCAGGACTGCTTGCTCCAGTAGTCGTTCTTGTGGCTTCCCCAGCCGGAACCATCTGTGGAGTGTCCCCCTTTGTAGTTGGCCTTCGGCCACTTGTTGGGGCCCTTTCCGTGACCATTGCCGTTGCCGGATGGGGTCTCCTTCGGCTGCTCGGTGTGGAAGCCGCGCTTGTGTTCCCGGTTGCTGGTGTACATTTGCGACGGTGTCGGCGCAGAGGGGGCTGAGGGCTCCGAGGTGTTCAGCCGTTCCTCCTCATGCTGAACTTGCTGCGCTCCCGCTCCCAGATTGCCGCTGGGATTGCTCTTGGCCATGCTCTGTATCAGCGCCATCTGCTTCTGGGCAGACAACAGCTCCGTCCCAGGCTCGTCCTGCAGTTCCGCCTCCATATTGGCCATCAGCTTCCTGCGAGGCTTGAAAGGTTGTGTGCATAAGGATTAGGAGGCCTGTCCGGATGAGTGTGGGACAGGACTGCACATGCTTGGCCCTGCTATGGTGATGCACACTGAAGTCCTGGCGGCACCACTGACACGGGCTAAAGACCGTGGCTCTACGCTCTGCTAGCCAGCTCGGCAGCTCCTTGAGGACGGTGCGCAAAGCGGTATGTTGCACACTGACATGCCTCGTGAGATAGTTGGGCTTGGCTAGCCACTGATTGCAGAGCATGCAGTGGTTCTGATCGCTCGCCCTAAAGTGCTTCGCAACTGACCTCCAATCCGTATTCGACAAAAGCTGAACGAGATCGGCTGACAGCAGGCACCATAGGTCACTCAGGGAAGCAATGGCCGGGACTGCAGGATCCAAAGGTGTGCAAATCCGAGTAGATAGGGATGGCACGGGTGCATTGGACGCTGCTGAACTTTCCATTTTGTCCGATGCCTGCTGTGACTGACTGTGTAGCACCGAGCAACACTTGCGCTCAAAGTGCTGACAAAAAGACGGCCAGGAAGTGAAGTTCCACTGGCAGTGCTTACAAGTGGGAAGGCCATTCAGGGCATGACACATGTAATCCGTACGCATCTGTTGTTGTGTACGCTTTGGGGGGGCAGGCTTGCTGCAGCTTCGTCTGCTTCGGGCTTGGTATGTTTAAGTGCGCAATGAACTCGGACTGCTTTGAGGGAATCAAAGTAGAGCCCGCAGTGCGGACATGCCTGTGGCTCCACATGATGTGCTATTGCAACTAGATGCGCCTGGGTGTCAGCCGGGTGTGACAGCATTGGAAGAACGGACGCCTGCGTGTCTTGTGGTTGTTGTGAGAAGTAATGGTCCAGGGTCTGCCATCTGGACTGAACCCGCGCAGGTTGCAGGCACACCATTACACCGCAACGGCAATTGTGCAGTCTCCGTAATGCCCTTTGGGCAAGGTCCTTAAGGGGGTCCATGACTGAAAGCTTATCAAAAAGTACTTGTGCAGGCTCCCTGGTAAGATGGACAGGCTCTTTGATGACCATCCGCAGCTGCCTAGCTACAGTTTTGCTGATAAGAACCGAACCAGCCCCCGAGGACACAACACAATCCAGTCCATACATCAAACTGGCATATGCACATGCACGCCAAACCTCCAACTTGAGGGCACGAGTGAGGCCAGCGCTGCGCAGTGAAGGCAGGAGTCGGTTAAAGACGTTCCAAGATTGCCGAACCCTATGTTTGATCGTAAGAAGTTCAGAGCAGGTGTAGCTCAGCTGACAGCCCAGATAGGTGTGCTGTTCAACTACAGGAAGCTCTACTTGTCCGGATCCGGTCGCAATCTTGATGACCCTGCCTTTGCCAAGCTTGCGAGACACATGTTCCTTGATGATTCGGTTGGCTTGGCTGCCTTTAAGCTTGATAAGTATGACTGTTTTGTCCAAGCTCGGCTGCATCCCAAATTCGTGCAGAACATCCAGCACAAAACCGACCAATCGCACCGCTCTAACTACATCCTCTGGCTTATTGATGACCCATTGAAAGAGCCAGTCGTCAGCAAACGCTGACAGTTCCTCTGGCGTGAGCTGTTCCAGAAGGCGAACCATGACCACCGCAGTAAACATGGACCACAGGGTGGGTGCAAGCCCACACCCTTGGCGTATACCATTCTCTGTGTCAATGGTGGTTTTGTGCGGACCGAAGGAAAATTGCATTTGCGCATGCGAACGCAGGGACATTATTGTCCACACCAGCGCTGGATCGGCTTTGGAGTTTTGTAGGGCCGTCAAGAGATGGGCTCTGGGCATTAGGTCAAACGCTTTTCGCAGATCTACACTTAATGTGATGCCACCTCTGCAGGGCAGGACGGTGTGCCCCTGGTATCGGGTTTGTGGTGTGGCTGTCTGCGCGCGCAGAATCGACTGAACGTGGCAGCAGTGCGTGAACGCTCGATCCAGCTGAGCCGATCTGTTCTGCAGGTAGGCGAATTGAGGCAACTCCGACAAGAGCGCGTCAGCAGCTGGCTGCAGTCTCTGCTTGAGAATAACAGCGATTGCTTTGGCAACTGGATGCAAAAGGGAGATGGGTCTTAGGGATGAGGGACTCGGTGGTTTGCCGGGCTTTAGTAAGAGAAAGATGTCAGCAATGTGCCAACCATCAGGCGGGGGGTGTCGCATATCAGCCAGCCAGCTGTTAATTTGCACTGCAATGTCAGGCGCCATCAGGTCGGCCGCCTCTTTCCACAGCACCGCCGGTGGGAGTGAAGCGGGCACCGCTTTGCCCGACGGAAGGCCTTTGAGGGCAGCTGTCACTTCTTCAAGTGAAAACTGTAATGGCGTAGAGGGCTGGGTTAGGGAAAAGTGTGGCTCATCGGATCTTGACGCAGTATGATAAAGCTCGTGGAAGTAGTCTCGTATACACCCAAGGCTCTCTAGTGGACTACATGGTAAACCCTTGGCAGTACGTATTTGAAGCTTCCGTCTGGGCGCAGGCGGCGCCAACACTCGCAGCAAACGGAAAACGCAAGTGAGGCTCTGAGGCTGCGCAGCGGCGTCTTGCAACAGTTGCGTTACCACCATCTTTTTATGTTGTCTACATGCGGTGCGTAGGTGTTTCTGTAGTCTTTGTAGCCTGGCGTGTGCTAGCCACAGACGCATGTGACATCGCAAGCCACCTCGCTGCTGCATGCGTGACACTCGAGCTCGCCACTGCCAGAGGGCGGTGATGGTGGGCGATTTAAGGTCAGGCATAGCCAGGTCGGGTGGGCGGACTCTGTGTCTAGTTTCTACACTCTGGGCACGAGCTAACTTCCAAGCTTCGGTAATAAGATGATCCGGGGATGAGGCTTTTGTATTTTGCTGTAAAGATTCAAGGGCGAACTTAAACTTGGCCATAATGTGCGGGTCTTTTCTCTGAAGATCAATAACAGTTTTCCTAGGGATTGGCGGGGGTGTCGTAGGGCATGGTGGCCTATGGGGCATGGGTATGCTTCCCACTAGGGGCAGGTGACGCATGCCAGTCACCGGGACAAAGGGCAGAGTCACAGGCTTGGTTTGCCTAGCCACTTGATCACACTGCTGTCGATTGACCATTGCGAAGTCAATTTGGCTGTGACCTTTGTCCGAGGCGGGCAGATACGTGCAAGAGCGCCGCCCTTGCCAGGACCAAGTGTTCAGGGCAACTAGGTCAAACTGTTCTAGTGCGGATTGCAGCATACTTGCGTCACTGGCATGCGCGCTGATGTGCTGCGCAACACCATTGCCTACTAAGTTTTGATGGGGTTGCAGACTACAATTAAAGTCTCCCAAAAGCAAGAGTTGGTTACGCTTGGGTATGCTGTTCAGTAAGGTGACAAGCTTGGCCCAGACCTCTGCCCTTTTAGCCAAAAGAATGTCCTTACTATGCTCGTGGGCTTGTTTGTTTTTGGCAATGGACCACGCATGTTGATAAAGAACAATTACGTCAGTGCAAGGCTCAGTGGCTGTAAGGCGGATGTGCAGCAATCTACCAGGAATGACATCTTCATAGAATACGCTGTGAGGGGGATGCTGGGTACGATCGATCAGGGCTAAAAGGCCCGCTTCAGACTTAGCTCCTCCGCTGTGTATAGCAGAGAAGCGGCCAGTTTGATATTCAAGTGCATTCCGCCAGTGCGTTTCCTGTATGACAGCTAACTGGATATGCGCAGCCTCCGGCAGTGTCAACCACTGTTGCACTTCTGCATGCCTATCCCGGGTGAGACCTGAGGCGTTCCAAGAGAGAAAATGTAGTCGCTGTGGGGCGGTTTTGGGCTTCACAGGTTTACGATCCGTGGGAGGTCGTTCTTCATATTGGGTGCCTAACTGTTGTGCACTGAACCATTTGCCTCTGTACTTGGTGCCGCCATGTATGGCAGCCCTTTTCTGGGCTCTGCGAAAGGCCCTCTTTAGTACAGGCTTCCTTGGCACTGATGGGTTGTCGCCGTTGGGGTTCGTCTGACCCTGAAGTCTATTGTTGCGGGTTTCCGGGACTTCAGAAAGTTCCAGGCGTGGATTGCTCTCAACCCTCGTGTCTGTAGCTCCGGCGGCTGGTCCTAACTGCAAAGTGAAAATATGGTAACCCAGAAAAGCAGAAGACGAAGCCAGTTACCAAAGCTATCCTTGGACTTGGGACCAAGGCGGCCATTGTTAGGGTCCCTAGGGGTTTTGGGAGGTTGGTGCTCCGGGTGAGTAGGTGGGCAGTGTGAGGCAGTGCCACCGAACTTTGACAAGCCTACGTTGCCTAGGCGCAAAAGAACTGTACAGAAAAACTCACCGATCAGAAGCCCAGGGCTCAGCAGTCGAACAAGGAGGCAGAAAAGAGCAACACGTGCCGGCAGGCCAGGTGGGCCGCGAGCACGTCGCCGTCGCGAACCATAGGCCTTCCATTTAGGCCGTGTCGGTCGCCTGTGCCTTCCAAAATCAATCCGTGCTGGAGCCGGCTGCTCCGCTGGATGATCTCGCTGCGGCTGTCGGAACCTCGTCTGGCAGGTCGGCGTCAGAGGGAAGGATTCCCAGTGAGTACCGAACAAACCACTGCTGAAAGGCACGTTGTCCATCCATTCCGAGCAGAGGAAATAGGGCATACATGGCGGGGATATACAGTTTGTTCTCCAGCAGCTCCATGAGCCGGGCCATGAGCGCACGGGCTCTGTGACCCACCATGCCCCTCTGCAAGTTTGGCTGGGCCAGTCGGCTGAGGTGCTGGAAGTATAAATGCTTCGGAGGATCTGCAGATGCGCCGGTGGAGCAGATCCAACTTTCATCGTTTTCTCGCACTCCTTGGTCAAAGAGTCCTCCCAAAAATCCATACTCCTCATGCAGCCGTTCGAACTCCTGCTGTTCCATCTGTGGCGCCAGGATGGCATATACATCTCCGGGTTCAAGATGCTGCCAGTTGCGTCGCTGTGCATCCACTCTCGCTCTGACTGCTCGTCCGTCAGAAACCCGAAACTTGACGTGGGCTTCCCAGAATAACATACAGAGCTCAAAGAGTGCTCGGCGTGCAACCTGGTCCAGAAGGTGGCGCCTCTCTTCGGCGGCTTTGCGTTCAGCTTCCCGAGCCGCCGCTGCTGCAGCCTCATCTCGGTTGTCACCACCAGCACCATCACTAGAACTGCTGGTAACCCCAGCTGACGAAGAGGCCACATTGCTGCTGTGTGTCGATGATGACTGAGCAATCGATCTTGGCATGCCCCCGGCCCGAAGGCCCCGTAAGAGGACAGCCAAGAAAGACAAGCTGTCCAAGCAGCTTCCCAAACAGCAGTGTGCCTCTACGCGGTGCAGTCACCCAGAGGCAAGGACCATGCACCGAGCAACCCCCAGGGGAGGAAACTGTAAAAAAAAACCGTTCGGGCCGAGACACTTACTACTACTACTACTACTACTACTACTGCTGCTGCTACTACTACTACTGCTCCTGCTACTGCTCTACTCCTCCTCCTGCTACTGCTACTGCTTCTGCTACTCCTCCTCCTGCTCCTGCTCCTACTACTACTACTACTACTACTACTACTACTACTACTACTACTCCTGCTACTACTACTACTACTACTCCTACTACTGCTACTATCTCCTCTTCCTACGACGACTACAACTGCTTCTACTATTGCTGCTGCGGCCACTGCTTTTCTGCTGACAGAGCAGTCAACAGTGGTGGCTCGTCGGACGAGGTAGAGGACGAGGAGGAGAACAGCAAGCTAGCACGAAGACGAGCCGGGTAAGGTACTAGCGGTACTCATGACAACAACAGTGGTAAGAAGAAGACAAGCTTTGATGACACCGCTAGTATTTGCATGAGTGCAGGGTGTGGGGAGCCTTGACGGGTGTGATAAGACATGCGCGGAAGGAAGTTTTCGCTAGAGTGCGCGAGATATGCTCTAGCTTGGCATACACATCATGGCCTTCGACAAAGCACTCCTCCCTGTAGTGCAAAGCCTGCTCAGGGTCGGTCTTCCTTTCGTCATACCCTACATTTGCAGCTACATGCTGGTTTCCATGGGCAGCTCTTCTGCAGCAAGCTCGGGACTGTCTTGCGACGACACCGGACTGTAAATGTCTGCTATCGCCCAGACAGCCTGCAACTGCCTTGGTCTGCAGCTTTTCCTCGTACTTGGTGTTGTTTGCGGCTGGACTTCGAGGGTGTCTTGCCAGTGGCTGCTAGCTGCACTCTTTTGAGCCTTCGAGTTCGAGGGCTGTACATGTTGCGGATGCGAAGGACTGGGTTCCTCCAGTGTTAGGGGGCAACCAGCTCGTCTGCAATGGCACCAGGCCCTTGCAAGCCCTCGTGTGCACTCCGTGTCCACGGAGAACCCATAGCCTGCCCAGCTCTGTCCTCGACGAGAGCCGCTATTAAAGTTCGGGGATATCCGTGAACTTGCCATTGCTGCATCGCTGCACGAGCACATGTAGCAGTCGACATGCCTGAGGTATTTTCAACGTGATTCTGGCGGTAGCTTGGCTGCGAGGCAGTAGGTTGTCGTGCCCAGCAGTGACTCCATGCAAGTTTCATTTTGATGAACTCCGGATCCTACCTGTCAATTTCGCACATCTACAGGTTTCCCAGGAAAGAGGGAAGTGCCAACTTGCATGTGGTTGAGCTAAGGTCTACGTGGACATTACCATGCGGGCCGCCAAGGAGCTTCAGCTACACAGTGCCGAGATTAGAGTTTAAGAGCAGGACCCATTTGCATATACACGTATGTATGCAGCGACATCTCGGCAGCCTGGCCAGGCCCGGCAGGGCTCCATTTGTTCAAAGCCACTCATGTGTGCTCTTGAGTTCCCGAGGAGAACGAGGCCACCACAGCTGAGCAGCATGCCCGAGAGAGCGTCCGAATTGCTCGCACAACTCGTCGCTCGGAGACTTTAAATTGTCGGCCCAAACCTGAAGGAGGGTAGATGAGAGTAGGAGTTGTCTCTGGCCTTCAGCATGCTTTTGGGACATGATCGCGGGTAGGGCATGTCGCATCATGTCGCCAAGTACCGTTTTGACCCTGGAGGATTTGAGAAGGCTGCAAATCGGAGAAACGGTTTGTCGCTGACTCCGTTGTAATTTGGAAGCACCTGTCAGTCGCCCATGTCCAAGTCGACCTGGTTGGGGAGGACTCCCGTCCAGGGTTGTACAATATGTTCGGACTGCATTCATTTCCGAACCCGTCCGTTAACAGCCCTTTTTGCACGATTCCTCAGCGCCGAATTGTATGCAAAGCTGCTTTAGCCAATTGTAGTTTCAATCGAACTCGTACTTACCTTGTCATCGTCCACACCTGCGGATCGTACTTGGCTCCGCTGGTGTCCGATACCACACTTTGGGGTTGTACATCAATCGCATTGCACAGAAATGCTTGATAATGTGAAGGCTCGCAATGCTAAAGGTGCTGAGAACAACTGCACACAAAAACTTCAAGACAATCGAGGATGAAGTGACGCAGGCAGACTCCTCATCTAGCACAGTATCCAGTTGTTTGCCAACTCCTCACATGTTTGTATAGACATGCAACAGTGACAGAGGTCTAGACAGGTAACTAGATTCGATGGAATTGCGCGCATGTTTGCGGATGTAGACACGGGCAGAGACGCAATATGCAAGTAGAGATGCAGCTATAGATGGGTAGACAGATCTAGGAGTTGGAAACAAGAACCACACACTATACACAACGATTCACTGTGCTTAGTTGTTCCTGTCGCCGAAAGTTGTGAACAGGGCACCCATCGAGCTGCATAGACCTCCCGCTGTGTCCAAAAAACAGAAAGAAAGTAAGAATGACAGAGAGAGAGAGAGAGGGGATAGACTCCATCCAAGGTGAGTTGTTGAAGCGCTTTGCTGCCGCCAACAAGATTTTCCGTGACAGGGAGGCGGAGGGTCTTGAGGCTTCGAGCCGACCCAGTGCTGCTCGGCAGCAGTGCTGCTCTCTCTCAGCATTCCTGTTTGCATCGATAATATATACATATACATATATATATATATACATATATATAGATACATATATATATATATACATATACATATATATATACATATATATGTATATATATACATATATATATATACATATGTATATACATATGTATGCATATGACGAAGACTACACAGACAATGTATTTTTCAGGTGGTTCTTGCTGCTGAATCAGCCAATCACCATTGAATTGCTTTCGTTACGACCTAGACCAAAACATGCTGCGCGGACAAGGTATTTACTGGGAAGTGTAGTGTGTCTGCTGCAACAACCGTTAATGATGACTTTTGTTGGGTATTCGAGTGTTTACAGTTTCCTTGAGGTTGGGCTGCATGAAGCCTTCCACCACAGATTCCCCCGTCTTTCACTGAGCTCGAAAAGATCCATGCAAGCCAGAGCGAGGAAGACCTGATGCCAGAATCGTTCGCAGGTCAGAAGCAGGTTTGACCTGGACCTGTCTCCCCAGTCCGCTCACTTCACAGACCAGGCGGGTGAAGTTACAGGTATGCACCACTCCGAAAAAGCAGGGCCAGTTTGAATGGCCTGATAACACAGCCGGGCCGTGGCTGCTGCGGCTGCTGCGGCTGCTGCTGCTGCTTCTGTTGGTTCTTCTTCCGTCTTCTGCTTTTGTTATCGTTGTATGCAACGTAGTATGCTCGTTCTCCTGCAGCTTGTGTTGTTGCTGCTACCAGACCGTGGCTGTCGGTGCTGCTGTCGAAGCCATGATGGTTAGCATGGCTACCTTGGCATGGTCAGGCGATGCAAGACGAGATCGAAATCACCAAGGCGAGAGTCACGTGTGCTTGGAACACCGAAGGCTTCTCCTGTTCGTCTCCAGTGGAAAGTTCACCTGGTGCAGCCTGAAATCAGCCTTTGCATACGAAACAATGCTTAATTCAAAGCTTAGGCCATGGCCCAAACCTTGCACTGCTCTCATCAACCAGCGTGCATCCATCGAGCAGGAGCTTTTTCTTTTGGTGGTCCAAGATCCCAGTGTCCAGGCTGGCCACAGATGCGCTTTTTACTCAGTGGCGCAGAGCGCTGTCAGTTGTAGCATCACATTGTTGACATGGCTTGAAATAGATGTCGGTATCAAAGCTCGCGACAGGGACTCATGGATGATTTGGACTTACCTGCAGACCGCGCCAATCTCTTCGAGGCACATGAGCGAAGCCTGCAGCCCTCCTTCCCACAAACTCTCGACCCAGAAGTGAACCGCAGCTTTCATCACAAGCCACGTGATCACAGCAGCTCCAGTCGCAGCAGACGACCGCAAAATACGGGCAAGGCCTTTGAACTAGTTGCCTCCATCTCCCAGCATGCTGTGCGTTAGCACGTGCATTCCCGTGACTTTTCTGGGGAGTGCCACACTACCCTCGTTTGTGTTGAACAGCCTCTTCCTTCGTGTTTTCTTGTCTCGCCGGCTGTCCTGCTGCATGCGGAGGTTGTACCGTCAGTCCGAGTACCCCAAGTGTAGCAAAGCCTCCTTGGTGTGATGTGCTTGCTGGAGATTGCTGAAGCATCGAGGTGATTGATGCGGACCAGAGTGGAACCCTTCACGTCAGCGAGCTCGTGCAAGGACCTGTCGGGCTTTTCCAAAGCTTTCGGGCGCAGTACTTCAGGGTGAGTCTTGACACACAGCCTGAGGACTCGCAATCTGTTATACCTCTACAACCTCCAATCCCGAACAGGGACCCTTGTTCCTCCTTTCGCTGCAAGCTGCAGTCCCATCCTGAAAGTGTCTCCTGCACGCCTTTTCGTCACGGCTGGACAGCTATTGCAGCGGTGATAGCAAGAAGGCAAGCATGAAGTACTGGTAGCAAGGATGGCAGTAGTTTTACCGACTCTGCTGGCCATTACTGGCCTCGTGCTGAGGTTCCCAGGACTACACCACGAGATACTTGTATTACATTTAAATATTATAGGGGTTTGAATAAATAGTAACGGTCCTCGAAAATTAGAGTTATGTAGAGTAGAATACCCCCTCAGAGAGAGAACATCCTCAGTTTGCGTGGTCTGGGATGGGGGGCCTCTGGCAGCCGATTGGGGGGAAGGTTGGCGGTGCCGTTTCAGACCTCCGAAGACCATTGCAGACACTGGTCACATATCGTTCGTAACATGAGTAAACCGAGGGAGTCAGAATCGGTAAGGCCCCTGTACGAGTCCCCCAGCGCTGTTTGCTGGTTTTGAGTCGCGAGGACTGCTCAAGGTGCGCGGCGACCTCAAGCCGCTTTG